AGTATTTTGGTAATGAGGCACTGAGAATACAAACTGCTTTGTTGTGTATATTTGAAGCATACTTATGAAAGGCCCGTGTTGAGAAAAAGTACATGACCTTAAATACACTATCAACATTTTCACAGTTTTATGCAAGTATACGAGTCAAATTTGCAGGGTAAGAAACATGACTGTATTTTTTGAAGGAAAGCAGAAGTAGAGGTATGGATGTGAAAAGGCAGAGAATAGTTCTTGGTATAACAAAGCTTAGTTATGTAAGAGGAAATGAAGATCTAAAATAAGAACAGAAATCAGTATGAGGAATTAACATAAATAAAGGGGAAAAGATAAAAATTAAAAAAAAAATTAAATTAAAAAAAGGAAATTTCTAGAAATTGAATGCTTAAGAAAAAGAGTAGCTGTCCACTGACAAACACATCTATTTTTTGTAGGAATGATCACAATAGGTTACTAATCTGTAAAATAATCTTACGTATTACTCTACTTATAGTATTAAAAATATGTTTGAAAAATAGAAACAAAATTTACAAAAGCTGTGTGCAACAAACCTGGTATCCAATATTTGAAAGTGCATCTAAAAAATAAGCCATAAAACATAGCTGGTGGTAAATAGGATCCTGCCTGAGGTTTACCACTGCTTCTCCCACTATCACACAGCTCTCTGGGATGACCATTAATGGAAACTGTGCCTTTGCGCTCTACTACTTCCTTCTCATCTCGTGCCAGCCAAAAGATGGGCTGATCACTGATCATTGATTACCTAATCCCATTTTCGTTTCCACACCTATGCTTGTGTGTTTTATACCTCTTTTACATACTGCCATACTTACTATTACCCCTTTTCTGCACAGTAGAAACCAAGAAAACTATGTGATTTTCTAAGGAAGTGTTTAGGGGATAAACAGTGAGAATATTTCAGTCTTTCTGTGACATACTGGTTTCAGATGCAACTGCTCCTACAGCTGAGAAGTTACTGTGCTTTGTTTTTTGTTTTTTTTGCAAAGCCATACCACATAAAAGATCACATGTCAGGATTTTCTGTTTTGCAGATAAGGACTTTTTGAGTAGAAGGTGCAGTACAGGGCACCTCCCCTGCTCCTGCTTAGGTTCTCTTCATTACATGAATGTCAAAGGCTTACTTTAGCTTTTGTTATCCTCCTTTGATTTCTGTACCACAGGGATGCACATTTTCTACATTCAGATGATTCTCACTGGTGTTCACGGGCCATTAAAAATCCTGAGAGTAATCTTAGATAATCTCTCTCCATTGCTTGTACCTGAAACTCAGCTATTATTTTCTTTTTATAAAAGAGAAACAGCATTCTAGCACAAATGCTCAAAAAAATCCTGGGAATTTAATTTTAGTCCCAATGAAGCTGAAGTCAATTGAAAACTCTCAGTTGAGTCAGGCTTTCATTGTAAAAATAATTAGTTTAATTTTTTTCACAAATGTTGACAGCTTTTCAAGTTGTAACATTCATAGCATAGTTATTACCATCGCTATAAAAATGCATGCAGAAGGACATATTTCAGGATTCTGCAGTTTTCTTACAAAAAATTCGCCTACCATTTTGTCAACTGCTATCAAGACCCCCCCAAACAATGCTGGTTTTCGTACTCATAAAAAATTACTTCAAGTTTCTGAACAAGCAAAGGGTACATGAACAAGTTATAAACATACACAACATCATCATTCAGAAATAAAAATACATTAAAAAATATGTCTAAGTGGTATAGTTTTAAATTCAACTATTTCCAAGACAATCTCAGAATAACAAGGGCCAAATTAACTACTAAATACCTCAGGTTAATACAATAAAAATATTTGTTAATAAAGGATGAAGAAATAATCACATACAAATGAAGCTTTAGTAATTTTGTTTAAAAAAAAACAGTGAAAACTGAACGTAAAAATGAAAACCAAGACAGTACAGGAACCTTTCAAAAAATTACAGTTGAACAGCAGAATAGATTTCTATGGAGATGATCCAAAAAAATTATGAAAGGGAAACAAGGAGAAAAAAAAAACAAACAAAAAATCCAATCACAATTATAGCAAGTAATCTACTTAAAAGATATGCAAAGAAGTCCATATTAGTAGCCCTCTTTATTGCTTTTTTCCCTGATTGTGCTAGGGTTTGTTTTATCTTTTTAAGAACAATCAATTATTAAAACAAAAAGCAATGTGGATCTTATTTTGTGAAACCTGATTATTATTATTATTATTATAAGCATGGAAATGCTAATCATATTCATTTTTCTGCTCTCACAAAATGAGGGTTTTTTGTTTGTTTGAGACTGTAAACTCAAAAAAAACCTCTCAGACTTAAAGGAAAACACTAGGAAAGAAACACAGAAGCACTAAGGATGGAAGGGGCTTCTGGAGATCATCTAATTCAAAGCCCCATGCAAATCATAGAATGTTAAGCAGTTGGAATGGACCTTAAAGATCATCTAATCCCAACCCTTCTCTCCATGGGCAGGAACACCTCCCATTAGACCAGGCTACTCTGCTCAGGATCATGTGCAATCAGGTTTAGAGTATTGCCAATGATGGAAATCTTGCATAAACCAATGTGGGTCCTTTTCCAGTGTCACTGTGAAAAATAAAAAATAATCCTTGTTCAACAGAATTTCCTGTGTTCCAATTTTTGTTCATTGCCTCTTTCACTGGGCACTTCTGAGAACACTCTGGCTCAGTCTTCATTGCCACCTGCCAGCTGGGAATTTTTCCACATTGGTGTAAGACTGCTCTGAGCCTTCTCTCCTTTAGCTCCTCAGTCACAGCTCTCTCATCCTCTTCTCATATGCCAGATGCTCCATCTCCTTGATCTATTTGGGCCTTTGATGGACTTGCTCCAGCATGCCCATATCTCTCCTGCAATGGGGAGCACAGGACTGGGCACATAACTCCAAATGCTGCCTCACAATGCAGTGCTGAGCAGAGGGTCAGGATCACCTCCCTCCACCTGCTGACAATGCTCTGGCTAATGCAGCTGAGAGAGCTGCTGTCTTTAGCCACAAGGCTGCATTGCTGGCTCAGTTCAATTTGGTGACCACTAGGATCTGGTCCCTTTTCTGTGAAGTTGCTTTCCACCCTATCAGCCTCCAGCCTCTACTGGTGTCTAGAGTTATTCCTTCCCAGCTGCAGGACTGTGCATTACTCTTTCTTGAGCTTCACATCAGCCTATTCTCCAGCCAGTCCCCCCAAAAGGCAGCACAGCCATCTGATATTATCAGCCAGTCTTCCCAGATTTGTACCATCTGCAAACTTTTTGAGGGCTTTCTCTTTCCCAAGATCCAAGACATCAGATGGTATACAGGACCGGATCCATTATTGATTTTCTCACTATAGCACTAGTGACCATCCTCAACTTGGACTTCATGCCACAGATCACAACTCTTTTGACTATGGTAAGTTTTAAATTGCACCTCCCCATTCATCAAGTACATACTCCATCAATTTGCCTATGACAATATGATAGAAGCCAGTGGCAAAAAATTTACTACTGAAAGATTAACATCCACTCTTAGACCCTCATCCACCAATCCAATGATTTCACTAGGGATGACTATGATGTTGGTCAGGTGAAATTTCCCCATTATATATCATTGCAGAGTACTTCCAAACACCTTCTTCTCCACCACATTTGGAAGTGGATTCTGTTGTGGTAGAGTTGTTAGAATGTTGTTAAGTTAGTTTATGTTAATAGTTGATAGCATGAAATACATATTTTCCCCTCTTTTAGTTGTGATTTCCCCCCCTGCTTCTCTTTCTCCTAATTGTTTACCTGGCATCAAGTTACCACGGTTACTGAAGTTTCTCTCCTCAGCCCCACGGCGAGAGGCCGGATAGAGTAAAGAGAGGACCCTGCTGGCATTTCCAGCTGCTTGAAATTTCTGCTGCCCAGGAGACCCTTCTTTTCTTTCCAACACGGAAGTTTGTAACTCTGTTTTTCCTGTCCCAGAATGTCTCTGAGCTATGGAAGCTGAGAGGCCAGGCTTACCTTGCCTTCCCTTTCTTTCCCCCCTGGGTTGCCAGGAAACCAAACTCCCTCTCTCCTCCTCTGCCCCTCTGTGGAGAATACTCCTACACCTTTGTGGGCATTTGAAGAAGTTGGTGTCTTATTTCTTATCTTAGCGTGTGTAACCTTGATTTGTAGAAAGTTTGTAAGATGTACTAACTGAGAAAAATAATTGGTTCCCTCTCTGATGTTCCCTCCCTCTGAAAAACCCTGTTAAAAAAAGACCCCAAATCCTTTGTCTCTCGTCCTTTGGATTCCCCTTCACAGAAATAAACTGTGGAATGCAAACCAGGGAGAGAGTCCACCCCTGATTTCTTTACTCACTTGATAGACTTGAATTCTTGAAGAAAATCAATGAATCTCACAAACATATGCTGGCTTGAAACTCGAGTGAAGAGAAACCTCATCACTGAGCTAGCCCGGCCACTACTGGGAGGTGGATTTGCTCTATTACCTCTCCAAGGATCTCACCAAGGATCCATGTTTATTGCCCTTCTCAGAGACAGGCTTTCCTCAAGTCCCAGCTGCCACGATGTTTAAAAAAGTTATCTGGAGAGGCCTTGCATCAGCCAGCTCCTTCACCACTTTTGAATACCTTCTGTGAGCTTCTGCCCACTTGTATATATATGTCTGGTGTGTTTAAGTGTTCCATAACCTGATCCTCCTCCAACAGGTCAAAGTCCTGCTTGCTCCAGATTTTCCCACTGGTATGGGACACCTGGGTTTGCAGATGCATTAGACCATTATAGGTGAAGAAGACACAGAGTACCTCAGCATTTTCCAAATTCTCCATCAGATTATTTGTCCCACTCAGCAGTGTCCTTTTGCTGCTGATGGACCTGTAGAATTGTTCCCTGTTACCATTTGTGCCCCTTGAGATTCAACTCCAGGTAGCTTTTGGTTTTCATAACCCAATTCCTACATGATGATACAGTATCTCTACATTCCTCCCAGGATACCTGTCCCTGCTCTCACCTCTTGCACGCTTCCTTTCTGTAGTTGAGTTCAGTGAGAACATCATGCAGGTCTCCTGCTGTCCTTGTTTGTTGGGATGGACTGTTCTTGAGGAGGACTTGTTCTTAGGGGAGGCCATCCTTGAAAATCAGTGAGGGGATCTCTCCTAGACCCCTCTTTTCTCCAGGATTTACATGTATCCTATGGGATTCTTTCAAATTCTGCTTGCCAGAACCCTGAAGTCAGGATCCTGCTTTTTACCTTCTCTCCTCCAAGGGGCTTGGATACCCATCATCATGTGACTGAGCAAGTGAAAGAAAAGTGACTGAGAATATTTCCAGATTTGGAAAAACTGCAAATGTTTCTTAAAATTTATAGGTTAATACAATTTGTTATCTGAAAATAGACAGCTGATGAAGAATTGAAGAAAGCGCTTGCATGTGGAAAAAATATGATTTTTAAACATTTTTAAAAGTTGCTATTTCAACTTAAAGTTATTTATATTACTTACATCATTTACTGAATTCCTTTCCCTGATAAAGCCTCAAAGCAATTCCTAACTAGTTTGGTTAGGTTACAATATAATTTTAAAATATCAGTATCTACAAAGCCAAAATAAGCATCAACTCTTGTCATTCTCCCCCAGAAAATAAGAAATGAACATACCAAATGACCAGTCCTGCAGTTTCAGTAGGAGATTGTAACATTTCCAATAAATGCACGCACGCACACACATGTATGTGGGTGTATATTTTTTTTTTTCTCCCACAGAAAAATACACATATATAGAAAATACACAAAGTAAAGTAGCTAAGACTTTTATGATATAGTTAGGAGAGTGAAAAAAGATTAACTGTTATAACATAGTGAATTAGAAAGATCAGTTTATCATACTGAAAATTTTGTCCAGTGAGAGCACCACACTGCTATGATAAGACCAGGTCAGTCACTTCAGCTCTCTGTGTAAGGACCTCTAAGTGCACATGAAGACTGGAACTCCACATTTGAAATCAGTTCTGTGGACTCCTTTGGGTTTTTTTAGGCATTAGATTTCACTTGCTATGTTCTTACTGGAGGCAGTGTATACGTTAGAAAATTGTTTCAAATAATTTTGAAATTATTCAAAAAAAAAGAGAAAAATATGGTGTAAATGTAAAAATGCTTGGTTCTAGTTTTACTTGTAAAAGCCACTTCTAAGTTCATAAATTGCCTGTCAATCTGTAAGTGAAAGATTCTCCATGTTCCATTCTTGCTTTCATCCAAGTGTCATAAGATTGGCTCACACCATGCAGAAGATAAAGGATATGATAGATAATTGGCTCTCTAAAATTGCTCTGTCTACAGTCCTAAGAGCTGAAGGATAAGCCAGGTAGCAAAATAACAGTCTGAAGTGTCTTTTTTACACTAAAAAATATTTAAGATTGTAACATAAAATTAAGGATACAGCAGTCAAGAACAATATATGTCTCAACTAAGAGTAAATGGGACCAAATAATTCCTATCAACCATTTCTCTACTCCATCAACAGTGAATAAAAGAGGAGTTTTGGGAGTCAGATAATAGAAACCTGTTCAAGTTAACTTACAGTAAAATTCTGAAATAAACCTGCAAGGAGATTCAGTTGGTCTAACATGCTAGGAAAAAAAGGCAAGCATATTCTCATTTTTTCAGCCAGGTGTCTCTACATAAAATATGAGCGCTGAGCATATGGAAACAAGCTTGGTGGTATAAGTGTATTCTCATTAAAAAACCTTTAAAAACCAGGTTTTGGAAACTGGCTTGAGGGAGAACTTAGAACAGATTATTTAGTATTAGGCAGTAAGGTTAAAAGAGATGAGGGATAAAATTGCAGGTTCCAGGGCATCCATGACAGTGACAGCTACCTGATGAACTCCTTGCCCTTCTGACAGACATTTATTTCTATTTTTTTAAAAAAGATTTTCAGCATAATTAAGCATTTGATAAAGGGTGGAAACAACAGTTATAAAAGTAAAAAGAAAATAAAAAAATTACAAATATTTTAAAATATCAATAAAAAGCAATAAAAATAAAAGCATATATCTTATAAAATGCAATTGTTAGTTAAATAAGAAATTATTGAATTTAAGAGATTAATTTTTCATTTTCTATTATATGTAGATATAATAGAAACTGCTAATTGTTTTTTAACAGTTTCAGTGTGTTTTACAGTCAAAAGCAATATGAACAAATCTTTTAGAAGTTATGTAGGTAGAAAAGGGACTACTAATCCTCCTGCTAAGTGGATTTACTGATTGTACATTGCACACAATAACTAGAACCTTAATTATGGACCAAAATCCCTTGCTCTGTCTGTACAGAGGTACAGAGAAAAATTCATCACACCAAATTCTAGATACTTTACTGAAATCCCTAAGATTAGAATATATTTATACTAACCTCCCTGAAGTTTCAGTGAACAAAGATAGTGATCCCCGAAGAACTCAGAGATTAACCACCCTCTGAAGGTGCCTCTCATGCAAAATATATCCTAAAGCAGCATCATGAAAGAAAAATGCTTCAATAGCAATTTTGGGTTAACACCATGTATTGGAGCTGAACTATAGGGAAGCTTTTTTAAAAAACAATTAACCCATTCAAAAATAAAACTTCCAAAAACATTATTTGAAATAAAACAAGCTGTGAGGAAATCAGAAGTTGGCATTATGATATGATTATAGGCAAAGGCCAGCCTCACCACCAAACAAGAGGAAATGAGTAAGACAGAAAGAGGCACTAAACAAAGAGGAAACTAGTCTTTGTTTGGTACAAAAACTGGTATAAAAATGGTGCAAAAGGGCAGAAAGAGCAATGAATGGAAAAGTTAATGTCTCACAGCCTGTTCATAAATCACAGGCCTCCCTAGCTCAACATTATGTTCTCTCCAAATAGTATCCAACCAACTTAGGTTTGTCACAGCTGAACATTCCTAATTGTGAAGATCAGGTAAAGAGGACAACAAATAGTTTTCACTTTCTTCAGACATGTTCAAGTCACACATACTTTGTAAGGATATCTTCCCAGCGTAAAAGAAGAGCTGTGAAGCCAGTTACTAACCCCAGTTAAACAACTAGAACTATGCTTGTTCCACCAGCAGTGCATTTTCTCGAAGCATATGTATTCAGTGATAACCTTATTATTCAAAAATATATCCCTGAAAAACTTTAGCTGGAGGGAGTGAAATGCAGGTGAAAACTTTAAGACTCAGCACTATTGTAATTGTGTCATGCATGCCATCACCAGCATTGTAAACATACGATCCTAGTGTACACAAAAGTCTAATTTTTTAAACTATGGAAATTAGCAAATAGGCATACCTAATGTGTATGCAACTGCTACCTAAACATACAAACAGCGTGTGGCTACTGTAAGTGTAACTTACATTTTTAGCTATAAAGCTCACCTACATTTAAAGGGTCTGTTGCCAGAGTTTTTCAAGAACTGCAAATTATATCATTATATAATGATGCAATTCTAATTTTGATCCTGAATTTGGTTGTTCAACTTCTCAACTTAATATATCTCAAGTTGTAAAAATTATAGAGTCAGATGTCCTAAATAAAAATGAGCATTCCCCAAAAGATAAATTATCTCTTAAATGAAAAACTCTTTGTTTGATGCAGCAGGTTTCCACCTTGACTATCTCCACTAATATCTTCTCTCCTGCTTTTCCTAACTTTTCTCTACCAAAGTATTTCCGCAGGTGTCTGCATAGTCACCTACACCTAGCCCAACATAAGTTGCCTCTGGTCTTGTTTGCTTCCTTCTTTAGTTGTTTTTTTTTCCTTTATAATAACCACAAAATGTCACTTATTATGCCTTTGTTGCATATGGTAGATTTTCATTTGAACATACCCCTAAGAAAGGCCTTTCAACATTTCTGACTCAGTCCTCTCAATGTTAAATTAGGGATAAATCATATTTCATGTACAAAAAGTGCTTTTTCTTATTTTTTTAATTGGACCATTATTTTGGGGAATCATGTTAGGTTTACATGTGAAAAGCATCCCAAATTATGTAGGCAGAAATAAAAGTGTGAGCATTCTTCTGAATATTTAAATTTGTCCCACATGAATTCAGAAATAAGTCTTCCGTTTATAGTTTGTGTTATTCATATTATTGGCACAGAATGCCAAAACAGGACAGCCAATTCACAACACAAGAAGTCACACTCCTATTTTTTTTTCCCCACTATAATGCTGAGATTTTTACTCTGCAGTACTTAGACAGTCTCAAGATGGATATTTTCCTACAGGTTTTGTTTGTTTCTTCCACATAAAACAATGGTTTTGCATGCTTGTTTGATATCTTTCTATTGGCTTGTTTTCATACATTTTGAGACAGGACTAGTTTGGAGAGAAAAAAATAAGCAAAACGAGACAAAGAACATCATCCCTACTGAAGCCATAACATAGCCTACAGCCAGGGATTGTCACTTCTTCACAGAGAAGAAACCAACAGAATTCTTCTGGGAGATATTGATGACACTGCAATGGGGGTAACCTTCCTTAAGATGGCAGATCCACCCTAGGGCCAAAGGGAAGTAAATATCATATCCACATGGAATTAGTGAGTTTAAGCTGATTATTTTAAGGAAGCTTGTGTGAGTGGGAAAAATAAGATTGCAACAAGCAACATATAGATAGATACAAATGGTGCTCTCCTACACTACATGATTCCTATCATGAATTTCAATAATGCCAAAACAATTCTTAAATCTGAGACTGAAAAGAATACAGATTTATAATGCTAAAAATGTTCATTGCTCTGCAGCCTGTTCTCAAATTAGGTAAGATCATGGAAAACCAGCAATAGGATTTGGCCCTCTACATTTTTTTTATTTTCTAGGCAAACACTGCTTTCCACTATCAAATGCTCTCAATCACCAATAGAGAAATTACTGTAAGTATTTTTAATTATTCTAAAATTAAGAAATTATTTCATTACTAAAAGACACTGCACATTCCTCAGGACTTAAAACATCAGTATAGTATGCCAAAATATGGTAGTATGTCCCGATTATTTACTGGTGAATAAAGAAGTTGTGAGTAACTTCTATACATGCATGCTGAAAGTTTGCTTTGTAGAGAGACCTGAAAGGTCATCTAATTCCAACACCCC